GTCGACTCAAGAGAAGGGACTTGTGGAAGTGGGGTACCGAAAGAGCTGAAGCGACGCCTGGTGGGGCTCAAAGGGGGGAAGGGACAGGATGGGTCTGAGGTGTGAAAGAGGGCTGGGAATCCAGTGGTAGGCTAGGTAGGAGTGAGTCTTTTGGTGCGGATTCTCAGGGCGCGCTTATCTTCAACTCTTGTTGTGAATCGAGCAAGCTAACCCCCTTCCCAGGGCTGGCTAGAGACCTCGGCGTCTCAGCAGCAGTCATGAGCCCCTACATGACGGCCGTGCCTTTCTTTGGCCTCCCTTACTTACCCTTCAACCTCCGCCAATCTCCCCTCCCAGGGCTGGCTGGAAATATCGGGCGCGCCAGCAGCGGTGATGAACCCCTACATGACGGCCTTGTCTTCCTGCCCTTCCTGCCCTTCCTGCCCTTCCTGCTCTTCCTGCTCTTCCTGCTTTCGCACACCTGCCTCCCTCCTCTCACGGATGGCCGGCGATTTACAGTGTGTCAGCAGCGGTCATGACCCCTACATGACGGCCGTGCCCTTCCCAGTCATTCCTGATACCGCTGCTTACACCCATGTCACCCATCCCCACCGTCAGGGCTGGCTGGAGATATTCGGAGTGTCAGCAGCAATACTGAACCCCTACATGACAGCCGTGCCCTTCCTCTTCCCCCCTTCCCTACCACCCACCAACACCACTTCCCCTTCCCAGGGCTGGCCAGAAATCTTCGGAGTGTCAGCAGCGGTCATGAACCCATACATGACGGCTGTGCTCCTCTTTGGCTTTGCGCTGCTGCAAGCCGGCCCTGTGGGCGTGGTGTGGCCCTGGGTCGTCCTCGCGCCCTTCCTGATACCCCTCCCCACATCCATCTCTCCCTTTTCAGGGCCGGCTGGAGATATTCGGAGTGTCAGCAGCGGTGATGAACCCATACATGACGGCTGTGCCCTTCTTTGGCTTTGCGCTGCTGCAAGCCGGCCCTGTGGGCGTGGTGTGGCCCTGGGTCGTCCTCGCGCCCTTCCTGATACCCCTCCCCACATCCATCTCTCCCTTTTCAGGGCTGGCTGGAGATATTCGGAGTGTCAGCAGCGGTGATGAACCCATACATGACGGCTGTGCCCTTCTTTGGCTTCGCGCTGCTGCAAGCCGGCCCTGTGGGCGTGGTGTGGCCCTGGGTCGTCCTCGCGCCCTTCCTGATACCCCTCCCCACATCCATCTCTCCCTTTTCAGGGCTGGCTGGAGATATTCGGAGTGTCAGCAGCGGTGATGAACCCATACATGACGGCTGTGCCCTTCTTTGGCTTCGCGCTGCTGCAAGCCGGCCCTGTGGGCGTGGTGTGGCCCTGGGTCGTCCTCGCGCCCTTCCTGATACCCCTCCCCACATCCATCTCTCCCTTTTCAGGGCTGGCTGGAGATATTCGGAGTGTCAGCAGCGGTGATGAACCCATACATGACGGCTGTGCCCTTCTTTGGCTTCGCGCTGCTGCAAGCCGGCCCTGTGGGCGTGGTGTGGCCCTGGGTCGTCCTCGCGCCCTTCCTGATACCCCTCCCCACATCCATCTCTCCCTTTTCAGGGCTGGCTGGAGATATTCGGAGTGTCAGCAGCGGTGATGAACCCATACATGACGGCTGTGCCCTTCTTTGGCTTCGCGCTGCTGCAAGCCGGCCCTGTGGGCGTGGTGTGGCCCTGGGTCGTCCTCGCGCCCTTCCTGATACCCCTCCCCACATCCATCTCTCCCTTTTCAGGGCTGGCTGGAGATATTCGGAGTGTCAGTAGCGGTGATGAACCCATACATGACGGCTGTGCCCTTCTTTGGCTTCGCGCTGCTGCAAGCCGGCCCTGTGGGCGTGGTGTGGCCCTGGGTCGTCCTCGCGCCCTTCGCCCTCTGCATGGTGCTTGTTATTGCCGAAGTCTGCTCCTCGCTTCCTGTGAGTTTCCTTCCCCGTGAGTCAGTTTCACGTTTCCGGTGAGTTTGTTGCTCTCGAAGTGACTTCTGATTCTTAGTCCTCCCTGGGGACTCAAAAGCCCCCCTGGGTGGTCCTCGAGCCCTTTGCCCTCTGCGTGGTTCTTGTTGTTTTCTGAAGTCTGCTCCTCCTTCCCCATGAGTCCGCTCCCTCTGCTCCCCCAATCCCACACTGCCTGCGCTCCTCTATTTTTGGGCGGCCAGCCTGTTGTCGCCGGCCATCACATCATGCCCCCCTTGGCCTCATCTGTCCTCCCCCTATCGTCCCCGTGGTCCCCCCTGCAATCATCTGGGCTGCCTGCTCGATTTCTTAGCGGCCAGCCCCTTGTGTACTGCTCCCTCCTCCCGCCCCTTCTCCCTTCTTCCTTCTCCCCAACTCCCCCGCCCGCCTGTCCCCACTTCCGCCCCCCCTCCTGCCTCACAGACGTCTGGCGCGCCGTATTTCTGGGCCGCCAGCCTGTCACCGCCTCCCAACTCATTCCCCGCTTGTTCTTTCTTCCCTATGCGCCCCCTCAGACATCAGGCTCGCTGTACTTCTGGGCGGCCAGCCTGTCCCCGCCGCTCTGGAAGCCACTGGTGGGGCCCACCCCATTCCTGCCCCCCCTGTCTTTCCCCCATATTTCCCATGCCCACCTCCTCCAGACATCTGGTTCGCTGTATTTCTGGGCAGCCAGCCTCGTGCCACCACGGTGGAAGCCGCTGGTGGGCCCCACCCCATTCATGCCCCCCCTGTCTTTCTCCCACCTTCCCCGCTATGTCCCCCCCATGCCCCCTCCTCACAGACATCAGGCTCGCTGTATTTCTGGGCGGCCAGCCTGTCGCCGCCGCGGTGGAAGCCACTGGTGGCGTGGGTGACGGTGTGGCTCGAGGTGATCGCTCTCTCTGTCTGTGCCAGCAGCATCGCCTTCCCAGGTACGACCGTCAGGCCCTTCCTAGGTCCCCCGGCGAGCTGTTGAGGCCTCTCTTTCTCAGGTATGCGTGGTGTGGTGCTGGTTGTCAAAAGCAGCATCGCCTTCCCTGGTGAGCTGTTGAGGCTGCTCGAAAGCATCATCTCCCCCCCCTCTGAGCTTACCTTACCTTTAGGCCACTCCAAGGAAGCATTGCCTGCCGTAGTTACTTCTTTCACCCCCCCCCCCCACCCTCTCTCACCATGCAGCAGCACAGCTGGTGCAGATGGTGGTGCACCACATGGCAGACAGCGAGCACATCTCCTACCTTCCCTCACCTCACCTTGATACCCCCCCCCCCCCCCCCCCACACCTTTCCTTTCCAACATGCAGCGGCGCAGCTGGTGCAGATGGTGGTGCACCACATGGCGGGTAGCGAGGACGTCTCCTCCACGGCCTTCTTCTTCGCTCTCTACTGCGGTCTGCTGCTCTCCTGGGCGTTCCTCAACTCGCTCTCCCTCACCTGCATCTCGCGCCTCCTCGATGGATACGTCTACTTCGTTGTAGCATACACTATTGTTATCGTGAGTCATGCCTCCCCGCTACTCCCTTGCCTCATGATCACTGCCTCTCCCTCTCACTCCTCTCCTGGGCGCTCCTCAACTCCCTCTCGCTCAACTGCATCTCGCGCCTCCGTGATGGATACGTGCAATGGCCTACACTATTGTCGTTGTGAGTCATGCATTCCCCCCTCACTCCCCTGTTGTGAGGTGCTTCCCAAATTCAACTCCCTCTCCCTCACCTGCATCTCGCGCCTCCTTGACGGATACCTCTACTTCGCAGTGGCCTTTCTTTCCTTCACACCCCGTTCTGAGATGCATCAACTCCCCTCTCCCTCACCTGTCTCTCGTGCCTCACTCAAGGGATACGTCTTCTACACAGTGGCTTACACTGTTACCATTACCGTTACCATTACCGTTACCATTACCGTTACCATTACCGTTACCATTACCGTTACCATTACCGTTACCTTCATCATTACCATGACCGTGTTACCATTATCATTACCATGACCGTGTTACCATTATCATTACCATGACCGTGTTACCATTATCATTACCATGACCGTGTTACCATTACGTTACCGTTACCGTTACAGTTACCATTACCGTTACTATTACCGTTACCATTACCGTTACCATTACCGTTACCATGACCGTTACCATTACCGTTACCATGACCGTTACCATTACCGTTACCATTACCGTTACCACCGTCACCATTACCATTACAGTTTTACCGTTACCGTTACCATTACTGTTACGATTACTGTTACCATTACCGTTACCATTACCGTTATCATTGCTGTTACCATTACCGTTACTATTACTGTTACGATTACCGTTACTTTTACCGTTATCATTACCTTTACCATTACCTTTACCAGTTACCATTACCGTTACCATTACCGTTACCATGACCGTTACCATTACCGTTACCTTGACCGTTACCATTACCGTTACCATTACCGTTACCATTACCGTTACCACCGTCACCATTACCATTACAGTTTTACCATTACCCTTTCCATTACTGTTACGATTACTGTTACCATTACCGTTACCATTACCGTTATCATTGCTGTTACCATTACCGTTACCATTACCGTTACCATTACCGTTACCACCGTCACCATTACCATTACAGTTTTACCGTTACCGTTACAGTTACCATTTCTGTTACCATTACATTTAGCATTACAGTTACCATTACTGTTACGATTACTGTTACCATTACCGTTACCATTACCGTTATCATTACCTTTACCATTACCTTTACCAGTTACCATTACCGTTACCATTACCGTTACCATGACCGTTACCATTACCGTTACCTTGACCATTACCATTACCGTTACCATTACCGTTACCATTACCGTTACCACCGTCACCATTACCATTACAGTTTTACCATTACCGTTTCCATTACTGTTACGATTACTGTTACCATTACCGTTACCATTACCGTTATCATTGCTGTTACCATTACCGTTACCATTACCGTTACCATTACCGTTACCACCGTCACCATTACCATTACAGTTTTACCGTTACCGTTACAGTTACCATTTCTGTTACCATTACATTTAGCATTACAGTTACCATTACTGTTACGATTACTGTTACCATTACCGTTACCATTACCGTTATCATTGCTGTTACCATTACCGTTACTATTACTGTTACGATTACCGTTACTTTTACCGTTATCATTACCTTTACCATTACCTTTACCAGTTACCATTACCGTTACCATTACCATTACCATGACCGTTACCATTACCGTTACCATGACCGTTACCATTACCGTTACCATTACCGTTACCATTACCGTTACCACCGTCACCATTACCATTACAGTTTTACCGTTACCGTTACAGTTACCATTTCTGTTACCATTACATTTAGCATTACAGTTACCATTACTGTTACGATTACTGTTACCATTACTGTTACCATTACCGTTATCATTGTTGTTACCATTACCGTTACTATTACTGTTACGATTACCGTTACTTTTACCGTTATCATTACCTTTACCATTACCTTTATCAGTTACCATTACCGTTACCATTACCGTTACCATTACCGTTATCATTGCTGTTACCATTACCGTTACTATTACTGTTACGATTACCGTTACTTTTACCTTTATCATTACCTTTACCATTACCTTTACCAGTTACCATTACCGTTACCATTACAGTTACCATTACCGTTACCATTACATTTACCATTATCGTTACCATTACCGTTACCCTTACAGTTACCATTATCGTTACCATTATCGTTACCATTATCGTTACCATTACAGTTACCATTACCGTTACCATTACAGTTACCATTACCGTTACCATTACAGTTACCATAACCGTTACCGTTACAGTTACCATTACCATTACCATTATAGTTACCATTACCATGACAGTTACCATAACCGTTACCATTACAGTTACCATTACCGTGTTACCATTACCGTTACCATTACCGTTACCATTATCGTTTCGATTTCAGCTACCATTACAGTTACCATTACAGTTACCATTACAGTTACCATTTCCGTTACCATTACCGTTACCATTACCATTACCATTACCGTTACCATTACCATTATCGTTACCATTATCGTTACCATTACCGTTACCATTACCGTGTTACCATTACCGTTACCGTTACCGTTACCATTACATTTACCATTACAGTTACCATTACAGTTACCATTACAGTTACCATTGCCGTTACCATTACCGTTACCATTACCGTTGTCAGTACCATTACCATTACCGTTACCATTACCGTTTTCATTACTGTTACCATCATTGTTACCATTACCGTTACATTACCGCTCCCCTCACTCTCTCATCTCCCCTCCTCCCTTTCCTGCCATGCCATACCACCAGTTAAAAGTGCTGCCAGCAGTAGCAGTGGAGCCCAAGCCAGCGTAATACATTCTCCTCGAGCACCAATCAGGCCGCACTGTCACCGGCGTGTGCGCAGTCCTCCCCTCACTCGCTCATCCCCCCCCCCACTTCCCGTCTACCCGCCCCTCCACCAGCTGACAGTGCTGCTAGCAGTGGCAGTGGAGTTGAAACCAGCCTCTTTCATTTTCCTCGAGTAACAATCAGGCCGTCACAGGCGTGTGCACCGTGCTCCCCAACACTGTTAAGAGCCACTCTCTCATCCCTCCCACCCCTTCCCACCGCACCCCCACCAGTTAATAGTGCTGCCAACAGTAGCAGTGGAGCTGAAGCCAGCCTCTTTCATCTTCCTCGAGTACCAATCAGGCTGCGCCGTCACAGGCGTGTGCGCCGTGCTCCCCTCGCTCATCCTCGCCGGCCTGCTGCCGCACTTCTCCTTCTACGGATTTGATTCTGCCGCCCACGTCACGGAAGAGACGAAGAACTCTGACGTGTCGGGCCCGCGGGCGATTCTGGGGTCGTTTCTGGTGCAGGTGCTGTTTGGATTCGCCATCCTCGTCACCTTCACCGCCTGCATCCAGGTGAGTGCGTCTTGTTGCATGCGACTCCTCTCCTCTCCTCTCCTCTCCTCTTATCTCCTCTTATCTCCTCTCCTCTCCTCTCCTCTCCTCTTCTCTCCTCTCCTCTCCTCTCCTCTTCTCTCCTCTCCTCTTATCTCCTCTTATCTCCTCTCCTCTCCTCTCCTCTTCTCTCCTCTCCTCTCCTCTCCTCTCCTCTTCTCTCCTCTCCTCTCCTCTCCTCTCCTCTCCTCTCCTCTCCTCTCCTCTTATCTCCTCTCCTCTCCTCTCCTCTTCTCTCCTCTCCTCTCCTCTCCTCTCCTCTTCTCTCCTCTCCTCTCCTCTCCTCTTCTCTCATCTCTTCTCTCCTCTCCTCTCCTCTCCTCTCCTCTCCTCTCCTCTCCTCTCCTCTCCTCTCCTCTCCTCTCCTCTCCTCTCCTCTCCTCTTATCTCCTCTCCTCTCCTCTCCTCTTCTCTCCTCTCCTCTCCTCTCCTCTTCTCTCCTCTCCTCTCCTCTCCTCTCCTCTTCTCTCCTCTCCTCTCCTCTCCTCTCCTCTCCTCTCCTCTCCTCTCCTCTCCTCTCCTCTCATCTCGTCTCATCTCATCACCTTGCATCGCATGCATGGCTCGTTGCAATATTCTTGCCAAAATCTCTCATCACCTTCTCCCCATCGCAGGGCGACTACCACACTTTTTATGCCGCGGGCGGCAACTCCTTCATGGATCCCATTGTGCACCTCCTCAAATCCATCTGTCTTCTCTGCGCACTTCAATCAAAGCATCTCTCCTCCCCCTCCCCATTCCCCGTCGCCCCATTCCCCGTGTCACCCCCACAGGGCGACTACCACACTCTTTACGTCGCTGGCTGCAACTCCTTCATGGACCCCGTCGTGCACCTCTTCATATCCGTCTTCACCATTCGTTTCGGCTCCGCCACCGGAGCCTACGTCCTCCTCCTCCTCATGGTCCTCCATTTCTACGCCGCCGGCTTCGGGGTCACACTCGCTTCCTCGCGGGCTATCTATGCGGCGAGCAGGGATGGCGCCATGCCGTGGTCGCGCGTGTGGAGGACGCTGTCGAGGCGCAACCGCATTCCTGTCAGGGCCATCTGGCTCTCCACCCTCATCGCTGTCGTTTTCGGCATCCCCAGCTTCTTGTGAGTCGTCTTCTAGCCGGTCCGTTGTTTGCTTTGTTAGTTTTTGTTGTTGTTGTAGTTGTTTTGTTTTTTTGTTCTGTATGCAATGCCTCATCCCCTGTAACACATTCCTTAACCTCCGCCCTCTTACCGGTAATCCCCGCAGCTCCCCAACATTCTTTGGAACAGTGGCAGCGGTGACGTCAGCAGCATGGTTGGGAACGTACGGCATCGTTGTCTTCTTCCGCCTCATCATCCCTCCGCACCACTTCAAACCTGGCCCTTTCTCCCTCGGCCGCTGCGCGCGCCCGCTGTGCGTCGTGGCGCTGGGGTATATAGTGTACACCATTGGGGTATTCATGGTCCCCATCTTCTATCCTATCACGTGGGAGACTTTCAACTACGCCCCCATTGGTGAGTTTGTGCCTTCGCTTCCCTTTCACATGCAGCTTGTGAGTGGGTGCCTTAGCATGTCGTCATGCCAGCATTTGTGGAACCCTTGATTCCTCTGTCTAATTGCCTTTCTAGTGCTGATTTGATTTGTGTATCGTGCATGTGTTTGCGGCACTGCAGCGGCACTTATGCTGATGAGCTTTGTCCTCCTATGGTGGACGGTGGATGCACATCGATGGTTTGTTGGTCCGGTTCCATCCATTACTGCTACTACCGCTACATCATGGATTATTGAACCACACCCCACAGCCTCACATCAGCCCCAAGTGTTGCTGGATGAATTGGAACCTCATCACTCACCTAGCCTACCACAAATAGTAGACATGTGACTGGAGTCCATGTGTTGTAAATATTAATGTGTATGTCTAATATAAGCTTCAAATAAATGCGATCAGTATTCTGCTCTATGGCGAACGTCTAATCCCTTTGCGACAGCTTGTCAGACTGACATGTTCCAGCAAATGGCGGGAAGTTTTTGAACTCTCGAGGAGTGCGCGCTGCGAAAGCAGGGAGTTCGAAGATTCTCAGGCAAGCAATTCCCGATGAGCGCGTCGAGGTGGTCTGATCATGCTGAGGTTAGCTGTGAGAAGCTCTGATCTCAGGAATGGCTGCTCATTTCGTTTTCAATGTCCCGCTCTGGCTGACCACAGCTATTCGTCTTCTCTGTTCTGACTTTCGCCTGACTAATTTCTCTGTATTGCAACGGCGGTTTCGGTAGGGTAAGCTTAGCTCGAACGCCGAAGTTAAGTTTTGGCTGAAGATACTTACACACTTCCTAGCCTACTTCCTATCCTTATTAGGTATCGGTGATTCTGGCTGTTTAGAAAGACCATAGGTTGCCGAGTGGTCAGCTTCATTTAAACAAGCGTTTAGGCAATTAGTCAGCTACACAATCACTGATTTTGGCTGTCCACTATCTGTTAGCGTCGCGATAATGGACCAGCCGGGCCACGCTGCCGGCACAAGCCTCTCGGAGATGAAAGAAAACATAAATCCTATCCTATTTTCCTCACCAGTGGTGAAAAGCTCTCCGCTACGAGGGGTTCTCAAGTCCCAGAGCTCCGTTGACGGAAAACGTCACTTCTCTCCGAGCGGACGTCGACTTTCACGCGGTCGGCGCGTGAGCTTCGCCAAGGATGAATGCTCCGTCCGCACCATTTCCCCTCGAGCGAACGAGCAAGAGTACGTATCGTGACGCTTCGTTTACCATCCGCTCCTTCTCTTTGAATTCCCGTCAAGACCTCGCACTCTAATCCTGCTATCCTGGTTTCCTTCACAGAAACGACAAGCCCAAGGAGATGAACATCCCTCTCGACAGCTTCGTCACGATTCCAGGCGACAGCCCGACGACATTTGGTAACCAGATCGAGAACACGATGCGGTGGGAGGAATTCTCCATCACGCAAGCTGTGCCTAATCTCTGGAACCTCGCAGCGCGTGACTCGTTGGACGGCAAGCAGCTCCCTGCTCTGCCGGCAGCTGCACTGGCGGAAGGAACCAGTCAGCCGGCGGCGCAACCGGCAGACGGTCAGAAGGTCGGCGGAAAGCGGCAGCTTCCGGCCGAGGGATTGAGTCCGACCCGATGCTCCCCGCGACTGAAGAAACGACAGGAAATTGCCGCACTGGCGATCTCCTCGTCGCCGAGACCCCTCTTCGCGATGTCGCCTCCAGCGTCGCCGAAGTCGCCGAAATCGCCCAAAGCCCCTAGGTCGCCGAAGGCTTCCAAGGTAGCGGAGTCTGTGTCGCCGAGGCGATCGCCGAGGAACCATGCGAAATCTCGCATGGCGTTGGACCATGCGACGGAGGTCGGGCGAGGGAAGGCGACAGCAGCAGCGTCGCCGGCAGCAGCCTCACCTGAGCCTGGAGAACGGGCGAATCGGAGGGTGAACACTCGTTGTAAGGACCGACGTAATTTTCAGGAGTGGATTCAGACGGAAGATGGGCTCAGTACCGTCAGTGCCGCGGCTGAGGATGCGAAGAAATGCGGCGGCGGAAACGATCGTAAGAAGGCACCCGTGGAAGGGAAGACTGGAGAGGTTGAGCAAGGGAAATCCGAGCCAGCTGCTGTTTCCGACATCGTCCGTAATGCCAGTGCGGGGAAAGGGAGCTCAGGGCTCGTCGACCCAGCTCACGTCGTCGCCAAGAAACAGAACCCGCCAATGGCGGTCTCGGCAACGCCAGCCGCCGCGACGCCTGAGGGAGCGGCTGGCGGGGAGCAGGCGGCTGCAGCGTGCGACGGAGTGACGCCGGAGGAGGCCGTCGCGCATTCGGGCGTGCTGTCGTCGTTCCTCAGTCCAGGGCTCGATGATGTTAAGGGCATGGGGCTGGGGTTTTCGCTCACTCCCGTCGACAAGTCCAGGGCCGCGATCACCGAACCCGAACGCGCAGCAGCAGCAGCAGCAGCTGTAGCCGCAGCGCCGGCGGCAGCTGAAGCAGCAGGCGAGGGTATCGCTGCCGCGCCTGAAGATTTCATGTCGTCGTTTCTGACCCCTGGTGTGTTGGACCAGAGCGACGGGGACCTTGACGGGCTGCTCGAGACGCCGGACGGGGCTAGCTCTGCTGGGGGGATGTGGGCGGGCGGTGCTGCTAGGTTGGACAGTGTGTTACTGAGCTCGGGGAAAGGTGTTGGTGTGGCGGGCTTCGCGGGTGAGTCACCGGATGAGGGGAGTCCGCTGCAGCTGGTAGGCGAGGCGGTCGCGCTGGATCCGCTTCCGCGCGTTCCGCTGGTTCCGCCTCAGGAGGAATGCGCGCCGCTTCGCCTGGAGAGCGCGCTGAACGCCGCGCTGTTGCTGCCGGCGCCACTTGCGGCGGGCGATCAGGCGGATGAGGCGGCGGCCGTTGGGAAGCTCTCCGGCGATGGTGCCTTCGGCTCCCCGCAGGACCGCATTGCGGGAGAGGGGGGTGGCGGCGAAGGGGCAGAGGGCGGAGCAGCGGGGAGTTACGGAGGGGAAGGTCGCGCGCGCGAGAGCGTGGGGAAGAAGGGGCGGCGGGAAAGCACTGGCACGAGTCCGGAACCGGGTGCTTGGAGGGAGAGCGGGAAGGAGGGCGGCGGAGAGGAGGGGGACGCGGGGGAACCGGGGGGCAGTGTCGTGGAGATGGCGGGAGAGGAAGAGGCGGCAACTGAGTTTTCCACAATCGGCCGATTCCCCCAACTGACTGCCCGCCCCGCTGTGACCGCGTCCGTGGGCGGGATGGCTGTTATCGAGGCGGGGACGGGCGCGGAGGAGATGGAGACTCCGCCGAGGCGGGTGGCGAAGAGCAGGAGCGGCGGAGGCGGTGCGCGCGAGGCGGAAGACGGGTCGCCGAGGGACGGGGACTCGCCCATCATGGGTGTGGTGTCCGCCGGCAAGGAGGGCGCGGGCGGCAGCGCCAGGCAGGGCGGAGAGGTTGCGCGGAGTGGGGGGAAACGAGGGGATGCGGAAGATGGAGAGAACGGGGGGGATGAGGGGGATGCGGAGGAGCGGAGTATGGGGCTGGTGGGGTGGAGCGAGGGTGTGAGGCGGGCGTTTGAGGATGTGGAGATGGGGGAGGAGCTGGTGGGGGGGTTCGATCTGGCGGAAGTGGGCTGGGGGGAGGAGATGGCGGGCGGGGTGGGCGGAGGAATGGAGAGTGCGGAGCAGGCGCGCATCCGCGGCGTCCGGTGGCTCGAGTGGTTTTTTTCCATGGCTGGGGTGAGTGCAGCTCGTGGTGCTGGCTGTGATGTGAAGCAGTGGCATCGTAGTGTGTTGCGTGAGCGTGCGATTCGGGGTCTTATATCCACCGATTTCACACTCTTTCGTGATCTCCTGCCTCGCACGCGCGCTCCCCCTCCGCAGATGTCGCTAGAGAAGCGCAAGTCGGGGGTGCTGGAGCAGTCCCCCTGGACTCCGCGCACGCCCAGGGAGCGCGCGGGGGAAGCGAGTGCGGGAGAGCGCCTGTTCCGCCGCGTGTGCCTGCAGCCGCAGGTGAGAGAGGCGAGAGATGAAGGACAGCATCGGACGGGTCAGGACTTACAGATTAAGGGGGATAGCTAGAGAGGAAGCGTATCTTTTGAGAATTCTCAAAAGTGCATCGCTCGGCCAAGCGATGAAGAAAGTGGAAATGAACCGGGAAGGAAAGGACGAGTTCAGCCAAGGGGGAAAGGAAGTTGTTTCTGAGATAAACAGGTCCCGACCTGCTGGCATCGTGTCTGGGGCTGTGTTGGTCACCGTCACACCGCTGTGCGCTGTTGAGTTGACTCACAAGTCACCTCCCTGCGTGCTGTGCTGGCATGGGTGTGTGTGTGTTGTGCGGTGGGACAGGATGAGGCGGTGGAGAAGCTGTGTGCGGAGCAGCTGGCGCGGGTGGCGGAGGAGCAGCAGCAGACAGACGCGCTCGAGGCAGCCATGGCCGCCAGCAGCACCGCTCTCGCCCAGCTCGCTGCTGTGAGTGTCCCACGCTCGTGTCCCCTCCCTACCTCCCAGCTCTCTTGTCTCTCCGCCATTGTCGCTCCCTCTCTCTGTCTTTCCCACTGGCTCCCCCCACACGCGCTTGCACACTCACACCCATATCCACGCAGGAGGACACACAAGAGTTCTTGCCTGTGATTCCACCAGCTATTCACAACGTCACCTGTTCTGATCTGTTCGGCTCCACTCTGTTGTGCTCTGCTTTACTCTCTCATGCACTGTTTTGTTGTGCGTGCTGCAGCAAGGCAACCCCGCGCAGCAGAAGGTGCTCAAGGAGTGGCTGCTTGCCCTCAAGAGTCTCCTCAGGTGAGGCGCCAGGAGGGGGTTCATGGGAATGGAGTGGCTTTTGAGTCGACTCAAATGCAGATGGTGCTCGAGGAGCGACTGCTCGCCCTCAAGAGCCTCCTCAGGTGAGGCGGCAGGATGGGGTTATATGAACGGGGCTTCAGGAGGGGGGTCAACGCAATGAGCCGGTCACATCGGATGAGATGATGGATGCTCATTCTGTTGCTGCCAAATGACTTCTTCACAGCACTCGCACAGTTGGTTCGCACAGTCGATTCGCACATTATAGATCAGCATGGCCACTAGCTATCCTCCAACCTGCTCGTGTGCAACTTGTTCCTCTAAACTGATGTGTGCCGCATGTGTGCGTGGATATGCATGCATGTGTGCGTGGATATGCATGCATGTGTGCGTGCATACGCATGTGTGTGTGTGTGCCCCGGCCATGCATGTGTGGATGGCAGGGTGGAGACGAAGGCGGAGTGGCAGCGGGTGCGGGCGCAGCTGGAGGCGGAGAGGAGCCGCGCCCTGGACCACGCCGAACTCATGCTGCAGGTGCCTGCTTGCCTGCGTGCCTGCTTGCCTGCTTGCCTGCTTGCCTGCTTGCCTGCTTGCCTGCTTGCCTGCTTCCCTGCTTGCCTGCTTGCCTGCTTCCCTGCTTGCCTTCTTGCCTGCTTCCCTGCTTGCCTGCTTGCCTGCTTGCCTGCTTGCCTGCGTGCCTGCTTGCCTGCTTGCCTGCTTGCCTGCGTGTCTGCGTGCCTGCTTGCCTGCTTGCCTGCTTCCCTGCTTGCCTGCTTGCCTGCTTCCCTGCTTGCCTGCTTGCCTGCTTGCCTGCTTCCCTGCTCCCCTGCTTGCCTGCTTGCCTGCTTGCCTGCTTCCCTGCTCCCCTGCTTGCCTGCTTGCCTGCTTCCCTGCTCCCCTGCTCCCCTGCTTGCCTGCTTGCCTGCTCCCCTGCTCCCCTGCTTGCCTGCTTGCCTGCTTGCCTACGTGCCTGCTTGCCTGCTCCCCTGCTTGCCTGCTTGCCTGCCTGCCTGCTTGCCTGCTTGCCTGCTCCCCTGCTTGCCTGCTCCCCTGCTTGCCTGCTTGCCTGCTTGCCTGCTCCCCTGCTCCCCTGCTTGCCTGCTTGCCTGCTTGCCTGCGTGCCTGCTTCCCTGCTTGCCTGCTTGCCTGCGTGCCTGCTGCCTGCGTGCCTGCGTGCCTGCTTGCCTGCTTGCCTGCTTCCCTGCTTGCCTGCTTGCCTGCTTCCCTGCTTGCCTGCTTGCCTGCTTCCCTGCTTGCCTGCTTCCCTGCTCCCCTGCTTGCCTGCTTGCCTGCTTCCCTGCTTCCCTTCTCCCCTGCTTGCCTGCTTCCCTGCTCCCCTGCTTGCCTGCTTGCCTGCTTCCCTGCTCCCCTGCTCCCCTGCTTGCCTGCTTGCCTGCTCCCCTGCTCCCCTGCTTGCCTGCTTGCCTGCGTGCCTGCTTGCCTGCGTGCCTGCTTGCCTGCGTGCCTGCTTCCCTGCTTGCCTGCGTGCCTGCTTGCCTGCGTGCCTGCTTCCCTGCTTGCCTGCTTCCCTGCTTGCCTGCTTGCCTGCTTCCCTGCTTGCCTGCTTGCCTGCTTCCCTGCTTGCCTGCTTCCCTACTCCCCTGCTTGCCTGCTTGCCTGCGTGCCTGCTCCCCTGCTTGCCTGCTTGCCTGCTTGCCTGCTTGCCTGCGTGCCTGCTTGCCTGCTTGCCTGCATGCCTGCTCCCCTTCTTGCCTTGCCTGCTTGCCTGCCTGCCTGCTTGCCTGCTTGCCTGCTCCCCTGCTCCCCTGCTTGCCTGCTTGCCTGCTTGCCTGCTTGCCTGCTTGCCTGCGTGCCTGCTTGCCTGCTTGCCTGCTTGCCTGCGTGCCTGCTCCCCTGCTTGCCTGCTTGCCTGCCTGCCTGCTTGCCTGCTTGCCTGCTCCCCTGCTCCCCTGCTTGCCTGCTCCCCTGCTCCCCTGCTTGCCTGCTTGCCTGCTTGCCTGCGTGCCTGCGTGCCTGCTTGCCTGCTTGCCTGCTTGCCTGCGTGCCTGCTCCCCTGCTTGCCTGCTTGCCTGCGTGCCTGCTCCCCTGCTTGCCTGCTTGCCTGCCTGCCTGCTTGCCTGCTTGCCTGCTTGCCTGCTCCCCTGATCCCCTGCTTGCCTGCTTGCCTGCTTGCCTGCTTGCCTGCTCCCCTGCTCCCCTGCTTGCCTCGTGTTGTGTGACGTCTCAAAAATGGACCACAGCAAGCTCTTGCTGCATATGCTTGCTTGCCCGTTCCCTGTAAAGCACGCACAGCACCCAGCTCCAGCGGCACACAAGAATTGGGATAACTGCATTCACCTATTTCGCCCCAACGCTCTGTGTTCTGAATTGCCCACCGCCCCTCCTACTGTGCTGTTGCAGGTGGAGCAGCAGCGGGTGGCAGAGCGCAGGGCGGCGGAGGAGGCAGCAGTGAGGCGGGTAGGCGAGCTGCTGGCGGAAGTGAGGGCGAGGAGGGCCGCGGCGGAGCGAGCACTCAAGGAGAGGGAGGAGAAGGCAGCGGCGCATCAGCAAAGCAGGCTCCAGGAGCTGAGAAAGCAGGTGCGCTCGCTGTTCCGTTCCCTTGAACGCGCATTGCATCTTCTACGTGCGTGCTGCCTTGTGCTAGCTGCCTTTTCCACCGCTTCTGCTGCGTCTGAGCGTTGATTCGCTGACGCTGCACCCATCCGCCCACCCACCCACCCATGTGCGGCATGGCAGAGGCAGCGCCTGCTGGAAGAGACGAACGCCATGAGGAGAGAGCTGGCCGCCCGCCACCAGGCCCTCCAGGCCCAGTGCCAGGCCAAGACGGAGGCCCAGACGCAGACAGGGACACAGACACAGGCACAGATACAGCCACAGACAGTGGCGCAGCCTGCGCATGGGATGGCAGAAGTAGGAGGAGGCCTCAGGGCTGCAGGTGATGCAGCAACGGCTGCTGCAGGGGAGACGGCTGCTATGTCGGACCCAGCCAGAGCTGCCAACATAGCGGAGTTCCTGCAGGTACAGAGTGGTTCTGGGTGCTTGCTGTTGCCACCCATCCCATGTAATCTGAAGGTTCTATCCGCTCTCCCAGCCCATAGCATGGCAACTGCTCCTCTGAAGCTGTGTGTGTTATGCCCCCTCTTTTGGTGAAAATTTTGAACTTCTGCCACCCCTGCCAACTCCGCCACCCCTGCCACTCCTGTTTTTTTGCCAACCCCTACGTGCCACCGGCAGGGGTGGAGGCTGCTCGAGTACCACCAGTCACGAGACGGCATGCAGATGGATTTTGTGCTTTCCGTCCTCAAATTCGTCACCCTCAGGTGGACTTCTCGCACAAGTTGGATACATTGCTGCATGGGGGAGTATGTGTGCGTGCGTGCATACGGGTGTGTGTATGCATGGCAGCATGGGGTGTGTGCATGGCGGCATGGGCATGTGCACACGTATGCACCATAACCCCTTTGCACCTCATTCTCCCCTCTTGTATCCATTCAACGTCAGTACGTTCCGCTGCCATGCTTCATCAACTCCTCTCTCTTCCCCCCCTCCCTCCCTGCGCAACCCCCTGTCTGTGCTTCGCCCCTCTGTGCTCCCCTCTATCTCTGCTCCCCTCTATCTCTGCTCCCCTCTATCTCTGCTCCCCTCTATCTCTGCTCCCCTCTATCTCTGCTCCCCTCTATCTCTGCTCCCCTCTATCTCTGCTCCCCTCTATCTCTGCTCCCCTCTATCTCTGCTCCCCATCTCTGCTCCCCTCTATCTCTGCTCCCCTCTATCTCTGCTCCCCTCTATCTCTGCTTGCCGCCTGAACAGAGTGCACATCGACCTGGCAGCATCCTCCTTCTCCCTCTCGCCAGCCATCAACCACTCAGTGGTCGCCGAGGTGCGCTCTGCTCCTACCCTCGTATGTTGTTTCTGCACCCACCCTCGCAAGCTGATTTGCCCGTACCCCCCTGTTAAGGTTTTCAGTGCAGCTATTTCACCATCACCCCTCTCACCCCTCTCACCCCTCTCACCCGTCTCGCCCTCCCATCTCCTCTCCCCCCTCCCCTGCTGCGTCACATGGTCCCCTCACAGCAATTCCCTCTCTTTGAGGTGGCGCCTGCAATGGAAACTCTGGTGGTGGGGCCCTCAGCAGCGGGACCCTCTCAGCCGCACTCCTCCCCCCTCACTGCTGCTGCGCTTGCTGCTGCTTACCAGGTACGTTGCTTGCAGGCCGCTCTGCCTTATTAGGTACTCTGCACACCACTGCAGCAGCATCCCTGTGGCTCCTGCAAGCACTCAACAGCTGTGCCGTTCCCGGTTGCCGTGCCGCGCTGTGTACCGTGCTACGCTGTGTACCGTGCTACGCTGTGTACCGTGCTACGCTGTGTACCGTGCTACGCTGTGTACCGTGCTACGCTGTCCTTGTTTTACTACAAGCATGGTTGCTTACAAGCTATCCTGGCATATCAATGACCCTGCCGTGCTTGCATCATCCCATGTCATGCTGTGCGTGTCATTCACACCCTCATGCACATCATCCACCCACCCATGCGTGTGAACTACCAGGGGGTGCTGCTAAGAGCAGGGCGCACACATGCACTGGTGCAGGAGCTGTGGGAGAAGAGGCAGCAGTTCATGAGGGTCATGCCATGCCTTACCATGCAGCCATGTGGCCCCTCAGGTGAACCACAGAAGTGACCTGGGTGGACTCAAATGCCATCCTGTGACTCAAATCAAGTTGCAGCGCCTCCTGCAGGGGCAACTGCAGCCATTGCTGCTGATTTAGTCTTGTTCCCCACTTCCCTGCATCACATCCTGCTTGCATCCGCTTAGTTCATCGCACGTTGGTTCTGATTCCACTCAAGTTTGTTTCACTATCAGCTGTCAGACCACATCTCTCCTTCCATCTGCCCTCCCATGCACCCACAGGAGATGTCATGGTGCAGGCTTCCTTTCTGCAATTCGATCCCTTCACCAAACTCGTGCTCACCTGTCGCATCCCCTACCAGATGAGGTACTTAACCGTGCACCTTCTAGCGAATGTTGCAAACCGACACATTCTTTCATCTCGTCGTCTTCCCACATGCATTCTGTGCCATGTCTTGGCATGTCCAAGTCACGATTCTTGACGTGCTCCTTGCTCTCCCCTCCATGCATCTCATCCCCTGCAGTGGCATATAATACCCATTCACGCACCCCCACGTGGAGGTGGAGGTGCATCACAGCCCCTCCTCCTGCGTTTTATGACGTGTCTTAGCATTTCTAACCGATAATCTTTTACATGCTCCTTGCTCTCCCCTGAATGCATCTCATCCCCGGCAGCGGCATGTCGTATCCATTCACACGGCCCCACGTGGAGGTGGAGGTGCATCACAGCCGCAAGCTGCAAGAGCAGCAGGTTCAGCACGCAGTGGCAGCGGCAGCAGCAGGGGTGCCTGAGGGGTATGGGCTCATGTCCCGCATGCTGCAAGCGGTGGCCAGTACCCTCCAGACTCTCCTAGGAGAATGAACTAGTTAGGATCAGCCAGAGCAGCAGGGATGCTGGAGAGGTATGGACTTACGACCCTCTGCTGCAAGAAGTGACCTGGCAGTACTCTTGACACTCTTCTTCAGAAGGAAGTGCGGTACGGCAGGTGAGGGGCAGCGGCAGACTCAGTCCAGAGTGGTTGCATGAGAGGCACACACTCGTGACTAGCCTGTTTTTCGGGCCCAGCAGCGCCATGCAAGCTCTTTAAACAGGTAGATAAGAAGTCAGCATCAAGTTTTTGTATGATCTGTGCAGCTTCTCGTGCACAAGAAACCGTAACCATGCTAGTTAGGTGAGCAGACAGAAAGACTGGCAAGCCCTTGTGTATTTGATACCTAACACCCTATATGTAAAGGCTTACAAAACAACTGCCTCCATGCATGGATAGAGGCCATTTGAAGCTCCAGGCACAGCTGTTGCTGGTGTTTCGGCAGAAAGCTACCAGGGGCACGCAATCGGGTCGAGGCCAGAGAATGCGTGAGCACTACCACAGGCAACTTGCCGAACTGAATGAGCAACGGGTGAATGTGCATACGTGCACTATTGGTACAGGATGTGAGAATCCAAAGTGCGTTGGTTGGGCTTGTGGCTGTGAGCATGCATATGTACAGAGGTAAGGGTAACTCGCATCGCATCTGGTACAGGATTGAAGGGACCCTACAAGCGTGGCTTGGCCAAGCCAATTCTGCCTGTGGCTTGGTCAAGCCAGTTCTGCCTGTGGCTTGGCCAAGCCAGTTCTGCCTGTGGCTTCACTGTCAGCACACAGCTGCATCCACCCTGACAGCACCCTCCTGTTGCGCTCAGAGTGACAAGAGCTAGCACGTACAAGAGTGACGGACCTACAAGCGTGGCTTGGGGGAGCCATCATTGCCCATGATGTCATTGCCCGTGCCTTCACTGTCACCACACAGCTGCATCCACCCCGACAGCACCATCTTGTTGCGCTCTGCGATCCAGCACTCAAAGCTCACACGCCTCAACGGTCTCCCCCCTCCTCCCACGGCCTCCCCTTCCGATCCTGCTGGCTCTTCTTCACCTGCTGCGCTTGATGCTGGCATGGACACGGGCTGCCACGTTCGGGTGATGAGAGTCTCGCCCGGGAACACATGCCCCGTGAACCGAACCTGCACGCTGTGGAAGAGGCTCGGGTCGCCCCTGCAGCAGGTTCGGAGGATGGCTCGGGTGGCGAAGCCGAGCGTGCAGAGGCCGTGTAGGATTGGGCGAGGATAGCTGGGGGGTTGGGGATGAGTAGAACACGATTTTGAGGTTGGGGGAAGAGGGAAAACGGCGGTGGGTTGAGGAGGGAAGGCAACATAGATTGATGAGGTAGAGGCGATGGAGATGGGGAGACAATGCTGAGGGCAGGGAATACAACTAAGCTGAGTGGGCAGGTAACAGGTTCCAAAGACAATGGGAAGAAGAGCAGGATGGTGGGCATCAGAAATAGGGCTATTTACCCTGCAGTGGCGGCGAATTCAGGGTCGGAGTGGAGGGGGTTGAGGTCGCCACAGAGGCGGTACATCAGAGCCTGGTTGGGAGGGATGCGCTCCTCTGTTGATGCGTGGGGTGGCGGGCGAACGGATGGCTGTTTGGTGCCTGCTGCACTGCCACGTGCTGCTGGTGGTTGTTGTGGTTGCTGTTGTGGTGGAGATGGGTTCGTGGAGGTGGTGGCAGGTTTGGAGGAAAACCCCCCGGCACCACGCAGCACAATGGATGACCTGATGGACGCGTGGGATGGAATGGCAAGGCACAGGGATAGAATGGAGGATAAGAAGGCTGACTTAGGCTCCTCGGTTGATGCTGATGTCGCGGATGAGGGCACATGGAAAGCTGTGTTATGATATGAATCAGCAGGAGCCCCCGGCTTTTGAGTCATCCCACAGTCGAGCAACGTCTCACACTCACCTGTTGACTGCCAGCATGGCGCCCGAATCGCGGTCGAATGACACAGTCTCCACGCCCACTATGGCCGCCCTGCCCTTGTCCTTCACGCCCCTCAGGCCCTAAACCCTTTGGCTTGACTCAGAACAGAGGCGCACCTGTTGAGTGCCAGCCTGGCGCCTGACTCGCGGTCGAAAGAGACTGTCTCCACATCCACTATGGCCGCCCTGCCCTTGTCCTTCACGCCAGATATGCACGCCCGATTCACCACCTGCCGTGGGTTGAGGTTGATAGAAACATGAAGGGCGAGAGAAATTGGGTGCTGTGGAGTGGTCGGGTGACTCAAATCAACATCCACTATGGCCGCCTTGCGCTCGTCCTTCAGCGCTGATATGCGCGCCCGATTCACCACCTGTCATTGGGTGAACACCGAGTGGCAGACACACACACAGGCGAGTAAAGAATATACAGAAAGAGGACATTCTGCCTTGCGCTCGTCCTTCAGCGCTGATATGCGCGCCCGATTCACCACCTGTCATGCGGGAAGTTGGAAGTGAAGAAGCTTGGGATGAGATCGATTGTTTCGAGATATGGTGATGGTAATTAAAGCGGCGGGTTACTGTTCATCGTGGCAGTGGAGGGCAGGAGTAGCTAGCTCAGAATTTGAGTTGGGTGGGTGGTATTCACCTTGGCAGCGGTGGGCAGGGGGCGGAAGAGGCGTAGGTACTGCTCTCCGTGCAGCAGTAGAGCCGGATCGAAGCTGGGGGACGGAGGGGCATTGGGAGGTGTGTGCGTAGGGCAGTGGTGTAAGGGGCGATTGATTATATTACGGAGAACAGAGTGGATGGATGACACAGAAGAGGAAAAGGGTGTGGGAGCAAAAGGGAGAGGAGCAAGAGAGAAAGGAGAAGAAAAGCGGTTACCAGCATGGTTCCATCCCATCCACTCACACGAGCACATCGACGGCTAGGAGTTGCTCGATGAGGGAAGAGGGGAAGGATGCGTGGAATTTGGAGAGGAGCAAGAGAGAAATGAACGGAATGCAGTTACCAGCATGGTCCAAACCCACCCCACCCCATCCCATCCCACCCCACCCCACCCCATCCCATCCCATCCACTCACACAAGCCCATCGACGGCTAGGAGCTGCTCGATGAGGGATGAGGGGAAGAGAACCGCAAATGTGGGGAGCACCTGCGGTGTGAGTGGCGGCACAAGGGGTGATGTGATTAATGCGTTAGGGACATGGCGTGGTGTGGTTTGGACTGGTGACTTCATGTGGCGGCGGCGAGAGTGGTGGTGCTTACAAAGAATCGATCCTGGAAGAGGTGATTGTAGGCGAAGGGCAGGTCGATAGAGTCACACGCGTCAGACGAGCAGGCCCCAACGCCCAACGCGTACAGTGCCACGTCCCTGCCAGCCAGCACACAAAATGACAAGCCATGCCACACATTCACAGGGAGGGACACGCATCCCCGGCACAGATGTAGGGGTTGGCAATGCCGCACGTACGCAGCAGTGAGTGTCACAGACAGGACAAGCCATGCCACACACGCACACATGCACGCACACACACAGACAGGCAATATTTCGCAAGACACAATGAAACCACCAAGAAGTGCGAGGTTTTGAAACAAAATGAACAACAAATACACCTCTTTCCAGCCCTTCTCCCACGCGACATTCCCCCCCCTCTCCTTTACCCCGCCCCCTCCCCCACCCTTGTTCCCTATTGCCTTGCGCTTACTTCTCTGTGTACTCATACTCCGACTGGAAGCCGTCACCCTTTCCCCCCATTGCCTTCCCCCACCCCTTCCCCCACCCAGTTCCCCCACCCCTTCCCCCACCCCTTCCCCCACCCCTTCCCCCACCCAGTTCCCCCACCCAGTTCCCCCACCCCTTCCCCCACCCCTTCCCCCACCCTTTCCCCCACCCTTTCCCCCCATTGGCTTGCGCTTACTTCTCTATGTACTCAAACTCCGACTGGAAGACGTCACCCTTCCCCCATTCTTCTGCCACCCTTTTCCCCCATTTCCTTCCCCCACCCTTTCCCCCATTGCCTTCCCCCACCCTTTCCCCCACCCCTTCCCCCACCCTTTCCCCCACCCTTTACCCCCATTGCCTTCCGCTTACTTCTCCGTGTACTCAAATTCCGACTGGAAACCGTCCCGGGTTTAGCGGCGGCGCATGGGGGCCAATAGAAGCCATCCACGTGTGCATGCGCGGCGGTTGGCAAGCGATGACGGGGAGAGGGGGGTGAAGAGAAAGAAATGAGGAGGATGGAAGGAGATGCGCGGAGGGGGTTTAATCAGTGGAGCCGTGAATGAGAATGAATGATGAGCGACGAAATGGAAGAGCGAATAGAGAAAGGAATGCAGCCTGCGTTCTTACAGAATATCGAGTACGAGAGAGTATGAGAGCGCAAGCAATGAATAACGAGCGCGACAAATTGAGAGCAACACCTTGGCCGCTGAAGGTGGTTATGAGAGCCAAGGATGTTAAAAGGTCACTTAAGAACCAAGGTGGTTGCGATGCTGCAGCAAGCTGCGCTCGACTCATTTGTTCCCCATTGGTCGAATTCATGCAAGCTGGGATCGAATCGTCCTGTGGACGTGCGACGCGACGCGCTGACCTCGTCGAATTCGTAACCGACAACTCTCTCCGCCTCGATTCTCGATGCTCCACGTGACGCGGCCATCCCTCGCAGTCTGGCTGTCAAATGATCGACTCTTGGTCCTGATGCCACGTGAAAGAATCCAAATGTCAGGTGAGTTACGGCGCGTCACCTCGGGCGTTTGAACGGGCCAATTCGAACAGCCACCGTACTGAAACGCTTTGTCGGTTCCTCAAAACCCGCTGTACCAGATTTAACCTTCGGAATTTGGTTCGAACAGCCTATTTCCGCCCGATGTGACACGCTCTTATTCTCGCAGTCTGTAGAAATAACGTGCAGTCTACTTGCGTCACGGCTATGACGTCCTATGTGGAACCTTGAAATAACGAACTCGTGAGACGCGCCCTTAGGACGTCACAGCTATGACGTTCTAGGGCTTTCACATAGCACGAGGTGAAAACATGGTAAACTTGAAATCGTGTTGGCGAAAACCATTTCGAAAATGTGGGTGGGGCGAATGCGAATGCAAGTGGCGAGGTGAAACAGCCTTCACCACGCTATTTCGCGAGAGCTGTTTCCGGGAATATGGGTGGGGCGAATGATCCAACGTGCGACAGAGCACTGTGCTCGCGCCACCATTGGTGGGCACACTTCCATTCAAAATCTCGTGGAGTTGGTTATCATTGACGCTATCGAGTCCCATGTTGGTTACGAATGGCATATTTTCCCAGAGATTCTAACTATAAGGAATTTTCCCGAATTCCTTATCGGGGTTGACTGCTTCGCGTAAAGCCCCGATTTTCGGACTCTGCACGTTTGGCTGACATCAACGATGCCGAGCCTCCTCGCGTCGCCTTCGGCTTTTCTCTTCGCCAAACCTGCACCCAACCTCACTCACCCGAAGTTCCCTCCCAGCTAGCCTACTCACCATATTAGCGTGTGCCTTCATTTTCTAATCAGTCTGTTCAATCACCTTCTCGTTATTCGTTAACCTGCGCACTCTCTTTTACAACTCATAACACCTGGTATCACAGCTACTTTCCTTGTTCACCCCGCTTTTCGAGGGTAGTTTGGTGGCACGGGTTGGCTGGTATAAGCGGACTACACGACGGTTGGCCGAAAGGTTTGTTAATTCAAACCTGCCCGACTCCGATAGTGTGAAAATGAGAACGAGAATGGATGAACTATGAATGAAGTGAGTACATATAGGAAACCCTAATTGGGTTGTACCCCCTATGGGATACCCCACTATAGCCTACACAACAGCATAAGCTATATATATGTTCTGACACACCCCCATAGGCAAAGTGGGGGAGAACAAGGGGTCACAAGACCAGTCACGCAAAGAACAGCAAGCTCAGGGTGGATCACAAAGTCACCACACAGTCCGAGCACAACGACAAGGCCACAAGGCCAGTTCACATGCAGGAGTGCACATATATATATAGAGCTAGACAAGCAAGAGCAGGTATATATATGTGACAGTACAAGCAAGGTCAAGAGGAGAGCAAGTGAGGCAAGACAGGTACAAGACCCAGCTGAGTGCAGAAGCGCTGATGGTCACAAGGCGGAAGTGCCTTGGTGAACACATCAGCAGTGTTGGCCTCAGAGGCCACGTACGCAAGTCGCAACTGACCACGCTGCTGCAGCTCACGAGCAAGAAAGTAACGGAGAGCAATGTGCTTCGTTCTGTGCTCCAAGCGCTGCTCTCGACACAAGGCCAGCATGGCCTTGTTGTCTACGTACAGCACTGGAGGAGAACGAGGCGGCTCTCCAAGGTCAGTCAGCAGGTAGGTGAGCCAGCGAAGCTCCTGTGCAGCCATGGCCCCGGCGTAGATCTCAGCCTCACAACTGGAGCCGAGAACAGAGGACGAGCGAGTAGCCCGCCACGAGACAGAGCCGGAACCAAGACTGAAGGTGTAACCCTGCGACGACCGCTGCGTAGCCTGGTCGTCAGCCCAAGAAGCGTCCGCGTGCCCAGTGAGCACCACTGGACTCCGCCCTCCAAGCACTAGCCCCATGCCCGACGTACTGCACAAGTAGCGCAACACCCTCTTCGCTGCAGCCATGTGCTCTGGTCGGTGTCTCCCAGGAGCAACATAGCGTGCAAGAATGCTAAGAGGGTATGCAAGGTCAGGTCGTGTGCAGGTCATCAGGTACATGAGGCAACCAACAAGCTCTGGGTACGGGCCACTCGACTCTACGGACTCATCCGAAGGCAGAGCTGAGAGCGAGTGGCGAGTAGACAGAGGAGTGGCCTGAGGCGAGGAGTACGTGAAGCCGAAGCGCTGAAGGACCTGCTGCACCATGTGTGACTGAGTCAAGGTAATGGTGCGGCGTGCTCTGTCCCGAGTGATCTGCAAGCCAAGGTAGCTGCGCAGTTCACCCAGGTCTGTGCACGTGTGTCTCTTCTGCAGCTCGGACTTCACGTAGGCTAGTCCAGCAGTGTCAGCTGTGGCAAAGACCAAGTCGTCGACGTACACGAGGATGTAGAACGGCGGCAAAGAAGTGTCGGTGCGCAGAAACAACGACGGGTCAGCAGTAGAGGGAGCAAACCCAAGAGCCGCAAGCGTAGTCCTCAGTGTGTCGTGCCACTCACGCGGTGCCTGGCGGAGACCGTAGACTGGCCGTCGGAGGCTCCACTGGGTGCCAGGAGGGAAAGTCCCAGTGAAGCCAGGTGGACGGCGCAGCCAGATCTCCTCGTGCAGGCTACCCTGCAAGAAAGCAGTGCTGAAGTCAAGAGAGTGGAGCTCGTAGTCGCGCTGAGCGGCTATGTGCAGCAGCACCCGAAGAGTGGTCATCTTCGGGGTGGGAGAGAAGGTCTGAAAGTAGTCAACTCCCTGCCGCTGACTGAAGCCACGAGCGACGTACCGCGCCTTGAAGACAGGTGGAGAGCCCGGCGGCCGCTTCACCCTGAAGATCCACATGCCACTGACGATGTTCGCCCCAGGAGGGGGAACCGCGTCAACGTAGGTGCCTGTGGACTTCCAGGACGCCATCTCTGCATCCATAGCTGCCTGCCACTGAGAGGAGTAGGGACCCTCTACGGCCTCCGCGTAAGAGCGCGGAGTCGGGATGTCTAGTGCATCCGGGTCTCCCTCAGGGGCAAGTAGTACGGACGCGAGATGAGGTGAAGCAGCAGCCAGACACTGGAACTCCTCCTGCCTGTCCTCAAGGACGTCCGTGCCAAGAGCACACTCACCCCCGACGGACGGAGGACAGACAGACGCAGACTCAGCAACAAGACCGGCAGCGTAGTCTAGACGACAGCGAGCAGCAAAGTCGACGAGCTCAGCAACAAGAGCAGACGCAGCAGTGGACTCAAAAGAGGGGTCAGTGACGACAGTAGCAAGGAGACGTGTGACAGTAGGACTGGTAGCACGAAGAGAGTCGGACTCTGGGTCGGTAAGTGCAGGAAGAGAGGACTTAGGAGGAGAAGGCAAAGGGGCACGCAGAGGAGCAGTGGACGGACGCAAAGACATCCGGTGCGTGCCAGGGACAGGAGGAGGACGCTGACGCGAACCGCGACCACTAGCGCGAGCAGCACGAACAGGCGACGCAGGACGAGACGCAGGCTCACGACGCTCAGCAAGACCTCCAGTGGGACCAGTGTAAGGAGAGGGAGCAGGAAGTGGGGAGGCGGGCTCTAACTGGGACTGTGACTGAACAGGCGGTGGACACGCTGCAGGAGGAGAAAGACCAAGAACCTGCTGTAGGAGTGGAACGAAGTACGGCCGAGGCCGCGCGGCGACTCCAGACACAGCAGGGACAGCACCCTCAGCAGCAGCACCAGCGCCAACAGCACCTCCAGGGGCAGGACCTCCAGCAGCACCAGCAGCACCAACACCCGCAGCAGCTCCAGCTCCAGGCGGACCCGAAGGCCCAGCAGCTCCGGGACCAGCGGCACAAGTACCCTCAGCAGTCGAAGGAGCTCCGGCTCCAGCAGTACGTCTCCAGCGGCGAGCAAACCACTCGCGCAGCTCCTGTGGAGAGAGGGGCTCCCGCCGAGGCGAAGCACCCGGAGAACCGCCAGGTCCCGCACCGCCAGACGCCACAAGGGGAGGTCCAGTGGCCGCAGGCTCCGCAGCTCCAGGCTCAGCAGCTCCAGACGCAGCACCCCCTGGCTCAGCACCCCCAGTCGCAGCACCCCCAGGCTCAGCACCCCCAGACTCCGCACCCCCAGGCTCAGCACCCCCAGTCGCAGCACCCCCAGGCTCAGCACCCCCAGACTCCGCACCCCCAGGCTCAGCACCCCCAGTCGCAGTACCCCCAGGCTCAGTACCCCCAGACTCAGCACCCACGCGCGTAGCACCCCCAGAGTCAGCACCCCCA